AATGGAAGCTCTTCAAGCTGGCCTTGGTATCCTTTATAAGTTCCCCATCATTTTTTGAGCACTTCTTTACTTTCTGGATGGAGATATTTATGTACATTTTATACTTTCCCTGACCCAGCTTTGAAATCAGACACTCCTCTCCAGTGTTCTAGTTCCTTTTGTTGGTGAATGGTATTTAGAAACCAAAACCTGGGCACTAAATAGGCTTATTGCTTCTACACCCTTTGAGAAGTTCATAGGTCATCTAGAGTTCATACTCTGTGATCTCTAATTCCCACCCGAACAAACCCCAAGGAATCTTTCTAGTTTTTTCCTGTTTATATTCATATCTTCCTTCTCCAACAGTGGGAAATCTGGCTCCCACTATTATCAGTGTGCACTCATTTTCTCAGTCCTACAGAATATAGAACGTCAGAATTACTAACCAGTATCACTACAAAAACAAACCTTTAAGTAAAATTTGAGAATTGTTTGTGCTCTCTTTATCTTCATACTGAGGATAAATGTGCAAGGTACTGTGATCAGAAGCTGATTGGGTTTGTTCTTGAATCTCCCTGTCAATGTAATTGTGTTATTACTTTGAAATACTGTTGGGCTCATTTGTTTCTGCTTGTATGCCATATAGGGTTTCCCTATCTTTACTGATTGATTTATTTTTTTTTTTTTACTACTATATAAAACATGAACATGGTTCTAAAAGTCAAAACCTTACAAAAAGTTATATCCAGAGAAGGGTCACTGCCTTTCTTATCCCTCCCACCTGATTCCCATCTACCCCATAGGTAACTAATCTCATCTGTTCCTAGTTTTTCATTCTTGTAGGGGTTATTTGTGTTTTGTGTGTGTGTGTTGTTGTTAAAAAAAAAAACAAACAACCCAGATAGATGTTCTTATTTCTATTTCTTGTGCATATGACATATATTCTTTTATATTTGGCTTTTTTTGTTCTGTTTATCAACATATCTTGGAAATCGATTCCTATCAGGCTCTGGAGATCTTCCTCCTCCATTTCCGCAGCTGTGACACACACAGTGTGTGTGTGTGTGTGTGTGTGTGTGTGTGTGCGCGCGCGCGCGCGCAGCTGTGACACACAGTGTGTGTGTGTGTGTGTGTGCGCGCGCGCGCGCGCGCGCATGCGTGCGCGTGCACGCACCTGCACCTGCACCATATTCTGTTCACGTCTCCTCTGCATGGACATTTGGTTTCCAGCATTTTGTAATTACAGGTGCTGCTGCAGTGAGTAGCCTCATCCATATGTGCCGCTGTGTTACTGGGCTTGTGTCTTCATCATAAATTCCTAGAAATGGAGTTCCTGGGTCAAAAGGTTAAAAAATATAGACACACTTACTAGATTTTACCAAATTTCTCTCCACTGGGGTCGCACCACTTTGCACTCACAGGAGCCGTGCAGGAGGGTGCCTTTTCTCCACGAGTTTGTCAGCCGAGCTCCTTGTTGACTTTTACGCTTTGCCAGCTCGCTAAGAGTGAGAAGCGATGCCTGCTACCACAGGTGATATCCAGCATCTTTTTAAATGGTGAGGGCCGTCTTTGTGTTTTTCTTTTATGAATTGTCTGCTCGTATCTTTGGCTCATTTTTTTCTTTTGGGCTTTTAGCTTTTTGTCTCTCAATTTTATGACCTCTTTATATATTAGCGCTCTTAGCCCTTTGTGATATATATTGCAGCTATTTTCTCTCAGACCGTCATTTATGTTTTGGCTTCATTTGTGGTATTTTTGCAGCATTGCCACATAACCGAATTTATCAGTGTTTTAAAACTGCGCTTGGATTTGCATCATATTTAGAGAGCTTTCCCTCTGTCCAGGTTTTAGAGGAATTCACCTATGTTGTTGAACTTCTTTTATGGTTTTCTGTTTTATATCTGGATCCCAGATCATTTGGCATTTACTCTTGTGTTTGGTGTGAGGTCTGTTTTCATCTTTTTCCAAATGGCCATCCAGAGGTCCGTCCCAGTACTACTGATGAAAAGGGTCCGTGTCTGCCCCGGTCTTTGACGTGCTGGGGGAGCTCACTATGCGCTCGCCTAGTGTAACATCCAGACTTACTGGCGGCACTGTCTTCCTTGCTGTCCCTCCGCCGACGGGGCGGAGTATCCACGTTGCGGGGCTTTCCTTTATAGCAGGACAGCGGCTGTAGGTGTGACCCAGCACCGCTGCCGGCATCTCCACCGCGCCAGTTGACCCCTGCCTTTTCTGAACACCGGTGTTTCTCTTCTCTCTCACGGTTTTGTCTTTCTGTCCCCTGCCTCCTTTGTCTCTGCTTTATGCCCTCTTATTTCTGCTTTGCTTTCCTTTGTGTCTGTTGCCTTTCCAGCTTTGTGCCTTGTACGCAGTCTTGCACGCAAGCGGACTCCGTAACTCTCTCCCTGTCTCTTGGATGAATGGATGATGGTTGGATGGACACCTGAGAACCCGTGTGATTATGTTGTTTTCCCAACTTCTCTGCCCACGTTTTCCTAACTGTGTTCTCTCTTTTCCTCCCCTCCAGCCTGGCTGTCAGCCTGGCTGTTTCGTTGATTTTTCCCGTTTGTAGACTCCAGGCTATAGCCTTGATGACTCCTGGTTCCACTGGTCCACATTAACGTTATGTGCGGGCTGTTGACACTTTGTAGATGTCAAGAAAGATTGCATCTATCGCATACCAGTATTTTTAGAGCTTCTTATTCTTTTATTGAACAAAATTAACTCGCTGTGACCCACTAAGCTGTCTTGTGAGCTCTGCCCTTGTTAGTTTCTGACATACTGTGCTGTTCTGGGCTGTGGTGTGGGCGTGTACCCCGTATTGGCGTTGAAGGTCATCATTGAACGAACCCTCATTTTCAGTGGTGCCATTTCTGTAAAAGATGGAGTGGCATTTCCTCCTTCTTCCTGGTTGGAGACGTCTTGATCATGTACTGTTCGGAAGAGAGGAGGTACCATATGAAGAGCAAAGGACCCGCTTCATTCTGGCCCCTCTTATCTTTCCCTCCCTTTCTTCAAGGGAGAAGAGTAGAATTTAAGGACGTAAAGATAAATTGTTAGAGCCTATTAAATAAATCAAGACTGCCTATTACTTATTAAATATTTTAGCCAGAAATAAGTGTATTATATATAGGAAAACATGCAAAGCACAATCGTACAGTGGTGGAAAATGTAGGCCCAAGTTCGGATCCTACCCTGGAGTCACTGGCTCTGTAATTTTGAACACTAGTAAGGATACTCGGCCTCTCCAGGGCTTGTTTCATCACCCGCGGAAATGAGATACACTAGGAGTGCCTTCTTCCTAGAGTGGCTGGGGGTTGTGAGTGAGGACCTGCAAAGTCCTTGTTAGCACAGGTTCTGAGTCCTTCTCAGTGCAAAAGAACGTATCTCTGGCTGTGATGATGGTACAACCACTCTGTGTAAGTGCTCATTGCTCCAGAGGGGTGTCTTGTGGCTCGGAGGTGGAATTCTCAGTTCTGTAGCACTCAAGAATTGTGTCATTGGGCCTCAGTGATTGGAATCTGTTCTTTAAAAAATGTATATTTTAGGTTTTTTCGAGAATGCCCTTTTCTTTTATTATTTATAGTTCTACCCTCTCATCCCTTGCTGTGATTTTCACAAAATCCAGAGGAAACAAGATCCTAAGCCACCTGCCTCTTCCTGGTCCCCTGTGGTGGTTCTTTCTTCCCCAACGAGAGGAGGGTTTTGTGTAGGAAATTTTGTTTCCCTTTTCTTGGAGTCTTTCTGTCCGTTTGTCACCTGTCCATCTGTCTTTCTATCCACTTGCTCTTCTGTCTTGTTCCCAAAAGCATTTGAGACAGCTTAGAGAAGAACAGAATGTCAAACAAGCAGGTGAGAAGATGGGGCCAAGGTCAGAAGCAAGGGTAGGAGACAAGCTGGCACGAGTGGGGCAGGCATTGAGAGGCACGCCTGTGTCCTATGGATTGTCGGGATGGGCAGCAGCCTGTGCCTGAGACCCCAGCAGGCGTGAAGGCCTGAAGAGTTTGTCCCGGTGGTAAACTAGCAGCTTAGCAGGAGCCCAGCTGTTCCTGTTACCGAGGCTTGGGAGAGTCGCTTTTGTGTTCTGTGAAATCGAAAACTGCTTCATCCTTTTTTTTTTTTTTCCCTGTCCGAGTTCCATGTGTAGTTGGTTATGTTCTGTAAATGGAGATTTCTCCAGAACTCTCCCCCACATTGGTCTGATGGCCGGGGAATTAGGTGGTTCTGCTAATTGATAGGCAGCCAGAAATAGACAATGACGACCACAGAAAGGATCCTAGCATTTATGAGTTCTGTTTCTTCAGGGCTGGACGGTTCAGAAAATGCTTTCATGTAGTTGGTGGTCATTTGAGGAGACAGTGTGGCCTCCTGCTGGCACTCAGAGTGTAGAGCTGTGAGATAGTGCTCGCCACTGGCGTGGTCCTCCAGATGCCTAAGCTGGTTATTGTGAACACGGTACTTTTCTATAATGCACTCCATGTTCTTTAACAGAAAATTTCAACAAGGAGGAAAACTTACTTTGAGTCACTTAACATTTCATATGGTGCTTCGATGGTAAGACTTCTAGGGGATATACAGGCTAGGAAGGGGATACATAAGCTAGGAAGGGGGTATATGAGCTAGGAAAGGGATATATACGCTAGGAAGGGAATATATGAGCCAGGAAGGGGGTATATGAGCCAGGAAGGGGGTATATGGGCCAGGAAAGGGGTAATGTGGGCCAGGAAGGGGGTATGTGACCGGGAAGGGGGTATGTGGGCCAGGAAGGAGGTATGTGAGCCGGGAAGGGGTATATGAGCCAGGAAGGGGGTATATGAGCTGGGAAGGGGATATATGAGTCAGGAAGGAGGTATATGAGCCAGGAAGGGGGTATATGAGTTAGGAAGGTTTAAAAAACAGCATCATTATTTGAATTGCAGTAGGGAATATTTAAGTTTTATCTGGTTTGTGCCCCTCTTTCAAACAAAGAAGCAAGACAGAAAAAGCAAAAGATTATTTCTTTTCTTTCTTTTGGTTTGCAGGTGCCCTCACAACCAATGGCATAAATCCCGACACCAGTGCTGAAATTGGACGTGCTAAGAACTGTCTGAGTCCCGAGGACATAATTGACAAATATAAGGAGGCCATTTCCTATTACAGCAAGGTGATTTTACTGCTTCATAAATCCCTTACATAATTGTGTTGTTTTAATCCGGGGTTCCTGGTTTACACTGTGAAATACTGCAGTACATCCCAATTCTTTGGGTCTGTAAGTATTCATGTATCATTCTCTAATGCATGATACTATATACTAAAACACTTCTTTATTTCTGATTCATAATAGTGTGAATTTAATATTTGGAAAAAGGGGAAAAAGGACGATCATAGCCCCACTACTCGGAGATAACCATTTTAACATTTTAATATCTATTTTCTGGTCTTTCTGTCAACATATATTGCCTATATTATAAAAAACGGTGAGCACCCTGTACTTACTGTGTGGAGACCTGCATTTTCCATGTGGTGTGTCTCTGTAGTTAAACCTTCCACGGCCTGATTCTTAGTGAAGTGGGCGGCATTCCATCTTTTGGATGCACCCTTCTTAACACTCTAGGTTTATTTATTTATTTACTTAAATGTTATTATCTATTTTTGAGAGACAGAGAGACATAGCATCAGCGGGGGAGGGGCGGGGAGAGAGGGAGACACAGAATCCGAAGCAGGCCCCAGGCTAGGCTGTCAGCACAGAGCCCGACGCGGGGCTCGACCCCACGAACCGGGAGACTGTGACCTGAGCTGAAGGCAGATGCTTAAGCGACTGAGCCACCTAGGTGACCCTTGGATTTAAAAAAAAAAAAAAAATTTAAATTTCATATCTACTTTCTGAAATACTGAAAACAAGAAGTCAAGCTGTGTAGAAGAGCAGTAGCAAAAGCAGAAGATGAAGCCTGCCCACCTCTCCTATCCTTGTTTCTTAGAGTAACAGCCGTTAACAATTTGGTATATCTCTCTTGTGACCTTTATGCCTGTGAAATGCATATATGTGTGTATGTATATCTCTTATTTAGGAAGATGAGATTATGCCGCATGTGTTATTCTGCAACTTGCTTTATTCACTCACAGATTCATCCCAGATGTCCTCCCACTGCAAACCTGCTTGATTCTTTCAGATAGGGTGGAAAGTCTTCTATGTTTTTTTTTTTTTTAT